AAAATACTTGTGTATCTCCAATGTACAGGAACTGTTGAAACAGTCCTTCCAAAGATTCTGGCACACGTACACACACTGTGAATATGCCTGATGCCACCGAGTCAATTGTAAATTTCATGGTTTTGTCTTTTTCCGGGACTGGGGTTTGAACTGAGGACCTACACCTTGAACCATTCCACCAGCCCTTTTTTTGTGAAGGTTTTTTCCGAGATAGGGTCTCATGAACTGTTTGCCCGGGGCTGGCTTTGAACCGCAGTCTTTCTGATCTCTGCCTCCTGAGTAGCTAGGATTACAGGCGAGAGCCACCAGCACCCAGCTGTGAACGTTATGGTATGGGTAGCTTTACCATATTGACTAAAAGATCATGATAGTTTCCAGGTGCTCAGTATAAGCTTTTCATCAATGAGAGCTGCCCAAAAGCAAGTGGACTGTCTTGGGAGGAATTTGGCGCCCATCACCAGAGAGGGCAAACATGCGTGGCAGGGGTGGTCAAGGAGAGGGCCACCTGTCTCAGTGATATCAACTCTGACTTCTGTTGCCACCAATGAATGTGTGACTTCCTTCGTCCCTCTCTGTCCTGAGCGCCAGCTCTGTGTCCAGGAGTCCATAGGACACTTGGGTGTGGATGATCGGAGCTCAGGTTCAGCAGCAATGGCTCTTCCCCCTAAACACGCCTCATGTCTGTGTCTGCCTCTCAACCTGTGCTCACATCCGTCCTTTGTTCTAGGCTTCAGGTCATCCTTGACTCTTCTTCTCTCTGCGATCTCTAGGCCACGTCCCTTGAAACGTCTCCTGAGCTGGGCTCAGGCATCACTAAGCGACTCTGTTGGAAGTGTCCAGGTCACAATTCGAAACATCTCTTTTAGATGTGGCTTTCTTTTGTGGCTCTCAGCAGTGGCAATTTCGACAGGGTGGAGAGCTGGGGAGAAGAGGAGGGAGGGAAGGAATGGATAGAAGCTCCTTAAATTAGTTAGCTCAGATGCTAGAAGAAAGACCCAAAATAACAGTGACTTTTGCGAGAACAGATGCTTATTTCTCTCCCATGTGACCATCCGGGTATATCCAGAGCTAATACCACAGGGTGTAGCCTTTGGCAGTGCAGGCCGGGAAGACTCCCCATGGCTGTGTTCCAGCTGTGGAGGGAGAGGAAGAGGAGGAGGGTATGCTCCCTCTTTCTAAGGGCAGAAATCCAGAAATTGTACCCATCAGCTCCTTTCGAATCCTATTAGCCAGAACATGGTCATGTGACCACACCCAGCTGCAAAGGAGGCTGGGATTTGTAGTTCTTAGCTGAGTGGCCCTGTGCCTGACTAAAAATTCCACAGAAGGGGAGAATGGGTGTAAGTAAGGTTTCTGCCACTCACCATGTGCATTTCAGTGTGACTCACATAGCAGATCTAATTGCCTAAACCTTAAGGATATAGTAAAATACTGAAGAAGTTCCATTTGCTCCCAGCAAAGATTAGAAATGGGGAGCATTGAGCTCAGAAAGGGGAAGTCACCTCATTAAGATTGAACAGCAAAGTGTCAGAGCTGGGACTAGAACCCCACACTTTGGGCTCACTTTCTGCTATGAGAAGAAGGCAGATAGGGCTAGGATGGTTTTCTTGGGGCTAGGTAGAGGCCACATTTCTGAGCCTTACTTGGCAAGCTACTCATTGTCTTCTGGGGGCCATTGTGGCTCCAAGGTGCCTCCAAGTACCCCTAACTGTATCTTTTTTCTTCCTTTAGTACTAGGGCTCAAACTCAGGGCCTCACATTTGCTAGGCAAGTGCTCTATCTCTTCAGCCATACTTCCAGACCTTTTGTTTTTGAGATAGGGTCTCACTTTTGCCCAGGCTGGCCTTGGGCCATGATCTTCCTGCCTCTGCCTCTGAGTAGCTGGGATTACAGGCACACACCACAATGCTTGGCCCCCTTCACTGTATCTTAAAGTGTATTCTGTACTGGACTGGTAGGCATGCCTACCTTCTCTATGTGCATCTGCTCCTGAGGACAGAAATAGGGTTTAGTCAACTATGTCCCTACTGCCCCCCAGGCCCTCAGAAACCAAATGCATAAATGACACTACTATATTGAAGGATGCCTTAACTTGCATATCATAGAAACTTAGCTTGAATTGGTTTAAGGAAAAATAAAAAAAAGATCTACTGAAGTATCTGGGCAGACTGGGGATGCTTCAGGCATAGCTGGAATCAGGAGCCGTGTGTCTCTCTGACCCTTCTCACACTGGGAGGAATGGGGCTAGATTCTGGGATGATACTGTGGTCATGATGGAGACAAGGACCTTGGGTGTCCCCAGGTCTTGGGCACCTGGGCCCAGAGCCAAGGCACAATTTGTTGTTTTGGCTTAATGGTGGCACATCTTGGGTCATGTCTTGGGAGCATCCCATGGCCTTTTTTTTTTAATAATTTTTTAAATTTTTTCTTTTATTCATATGTGCATACAATGTTTGGGTCATTTCTCCCTCCTTCCCCCTGCCCCATCCATGGCTTCTTTTTGCTGAGTTGAATGCACCTGCAGCACCCTCGGATGAGCATGGCCTGGCTCCTCCCTCACTCCTGCTTCTCTGCAGAAGACCAAGGCATTCTGTGGTCTTTCCTGGCAGGGCTTGAGTTCCCACGGTTCCCTTGATTGTCTGGGACAAGGATCCAGGATGAGGAAGCAAGGGGTAAGGTGTATGACATGTACTGACTCCAGGGCAGCCCCCCCCCACCTCCTTGGGGAGGAGAATTGATGGGTGGGGTGTATGCATTCATCTTGGGGTCTTCCTATCTCCATGTAACTCTGTCTGTCTGTCCAGATGGATGGTGCATGGCTTTCTGCTCCTAGGCTGTCCTTCCTGAGTACCACCTTACCTCTGAAATGTGTTTCTCTGTCCTGCTGTCAGTACCCTGGGCCCCACTGTTGGGGTAGGAGTCTCTCAGTGCTGTGGAACTTGCAGATCACCTGAGTTCTAGGCTGCCAGGCTGCTTCTCTTAGATCACGACGGTGGGCTTCCTGGATCCAGGGTTGAGGAAAAGAATCAAAGGGAGTGAGCTCACTGCCCACCCTTGAAGCCCCTCATTGTCCCTCAGGAGAGAGGGACAGTGAGTCTGGGGGATTCCTATAGATCTGATCAGGAGAGTTGCTCCCTGCACCCCCCAAATACATGGAGGTGGCAGTCATTCCCATGTGATCCCAGGGAGTAAACCCCAAGAGCAGGAATTGGCGTGAGAAGGGACCAGGCAGAGGAATGGGGGTTTACTAATGCAGTAAATTGGGAGCCATGGATGGTTCTTGAGCAGGGGAAGGATGGGAGTGATTCCTGTTTTAGGTCCTAAGAGAATGTGCTTGGGGAGAAAGGAGGTTCTCAGGTGGGCCCAGATGGTGGACATGAGCAGTGGTGGGGGAAGGGTGAGGGGGCGTAACCCAGGAAGATCAGATGGGGCTTGGTTCTGGTCTGGCTGGGAGTGAAAGAGGAGAGGGGAGACTTGGAACCTGAGAGCCTCAGAGGCTTTACTGGTGTTCTTCCTGCAGAGCGTGACAGGCACTGCCTGTTGGGGTTTCCTGTGGGCTATGGTGGCTTTGGGAGAGCAGGAAGTGGTGTCCCCAAGGTGCTGCTATGAATGGAGCTGCTGAGTCAGCAGTGGCTAGGCCTTGAGGCCACCAGATTTTGGGCCGGAAGTGGCTGGGAAGAAGAGGAAGCGGCTGCTGGGAGCTTCCCCACTGCGGAGACTGGGGGAGGGGGCAGCCAGGATACACCCGGCTTGGCAGAGGGGCTCCCTTGGCCCAGCTGCCAGGTGTGGGGACGTGGGGAGCCAGGGTTGAGCCTGGGTGCCTGTGGCTGGAGTAGATGCTTCGGCTCTAGGTGGGATTTGCTCTGCAGAGAGCAGAAAGGTGAGGAAGGCCTGGGCTCTCCTGGGCTGTGCTCACCAGCAAGTGACATGTCTCAAAAAAGTCGCTTTTGTGGACTTTCATATTTTTCTCCTGCAAAATGAGATTGAGGTGTGCAGCCTGTCAACCGAATGGTTAGAGGGACGTGGTGTTCGTTTTCTGGCTGATAAGTGTTAGCTGGCAGAAGTGGATATGGGTTGTGGCTTGGGGAATCTGGAGGTGGCAGTGGGATGCAGGGAAGAGGTGGGTACAGCCTGCCTGAGTTGGGCACCTGGTGGATAGTGGCCAGACTGGAAGCCTGGCTGTGCCCAGGGAAGTTGGGGGCTCCCTGACCCAGTCCTGACCTGTGGCCACAGAGCCTCCTCTCACTCCATCCTGATTCCAGTTTCAGGGGTTAGCCCCATCCTGGTCTCCTCCATTTGTGACTGGTCTTGGTCACTCAGTTCACATGCGCTAAGGTAGTGGAGTCCCCCACTCATACAGCCAGCTGTCACCCAGAACTCTGCCCTGGGAGTTTCCGTGCATGTGTCACTAACGTAACATGCTCTGCCCTGAGTCCTCTACATTCTCTGCCTCAGTGATGCCCTTCCTGGTCACTGTGCTCAGAACCCACCATGGTCACTCCCCTAACACATCCTCAAATGCCGTCACTTTCACCCATAGCTCCTCATCGTTTCTGTCCAGCCCCTCTCATTTATTCTGCAGATGCCACCAAATTAACCCTGACCTCGCTCCTACTCCAGAACCTTCAGTGGCTCCCAGCTATCTAAGGGACGGAGCGTGCACCTAGCCCATCCCCGAGCCTAGCTGTAGCCTGAGCTCTTACTTTTCCACCAAAGTGACCCATGCGCAGTCTTGACCCTGAGCAGACCAGCCTTGCTTTGCTTGTCACTTGGCCTCCTTCTTAGACATGAAAGGCTGGATCCAGCTGCCTCTGCCTGCCTGACCTGGTCCAGCCTCCCTGCAGACTCCCTCCAAACGGCACTGTGCCAGGGTCCCTCCGCAGGGAGCCCTGTGGGAATGGGCAATTGCAGCCTTCCCCCAGGCTGGCTCTGGGTAGCTGAGGTGAGGAGGGCCTGGGGAGGACTTTTGTAGACAAAGTCCTAAATTCCTCTTCCTGCAGGCAGGAGCAGCCGTTCACCCAAGAGAGCCATCCACCACAGATAGCCCAGCTGTCGGCCACCTCTCGAGAAGATGCTGCGTGGATGGGGCAGCCCCGGTGGGGGTGTGCATGTGGGCACAGCCCTGGGAGTACTGTGCTTCTGCTTGACAGGTAAGAGGACGGACATTGATCATGGAGGACCACTGTCATCTGGACTCCAACCAAGCCAGCTTTTCTAGCAGGGCCATACTCACTTCCACTTCTGGGTTCCAATAGGCAACACCCTTTCTCTTTCTTAGCCTTGACTTCATCTGTAAAATGGGAATGTGAGCACCGAGCACTAAATATGACAGTTTCCTGAACACACTAAGTACTCCCTCCTCAGGACCTTTGCTTTTGCTGTTTCTTCCGCCTGGAACTCTCTGTCCCCACACATCTGCATGAGTCCATTCCTTATTTTCTTTAGGTCTTTGACTAAACATGACAACTCCTTGGCAAGGCTTTCCTGGCTACCTTGTAGAAAACCTTACTACCTTCTTTCTGCGTTTACTGCCACTTGACATATTATACCTTTGCTTACTCATTGCCTCTTGCCTGTTCAGTAGAGCAGGATCTGTCCCCAGGGCCAGGATGGGTACCTGCTACATAGTCGGCACTCAATATCCAGTCTGAATAAATGTGACTTTTAGAAGCACTGGGTATTAGTAGACTTCTTCCATGGGAAAACAAATTCAAGTGTTTGGTGCCATCTTGTGGTCATCAGGAGATAGTACACATCTCTACCCTCACTGTCCTGATTACTGTAGAAAAAGAAAGGGTGACTCAGGTTCCATGTTTCAGATGTCCCCCACAAGGGGCAACCTGGTCCAGGGGAATAGAACTGGCCTGAGTTCTCATAGGGTTGCAGCCGGAGGCCCAGGACCGGCTTCATTCCTTTAGAGACCTTCAATGCACTGCAAAGACTCTGTGTGTAATTCCTAGCGAAAATGAAAATTGTAAAATATATGTGAATTTTCAGAACCTTCCATGGGCACCATATTTGGTTAGCTTCATTGCGAGACTGAACGTCACATATTTTGAGCATGCCTGCCTGCTGTGCTGGTGCCCAGAGCCCTTCACCCATCTAACCAGCTGCCAAGTGTGGCAGTGTAGCCTCCTGAAAGACTGTCGGGTGCCTCTGAAGGGGAGCTGCAGTGGAGGCAGAAGTGTCTGGTGGGGAGTCTGCAGGAATTCCTTGGAATAGAGGCAGATCCCCAGGTCCTGCCTCTGGGGATAAAGTTCACCTGGGGCTCTGAGATTCTGCCTTCCCCTCACCCCTAATCCATTAACAGACCCTGATGGTTTACCCTCCTGAATCAACCCTGAATCTGGCCAGTTCTTTCCATCTCTGCTCCCACCATCACTCCTTACAGGGCCCACCAAGCAGCCTCCTTACTGCTCTTCCTCTTGCCCTTCTGTGGTCTACTGTTCCTCCGCAGAGGGGCCAGAGTGAGCATAAAGCCTCGTCACCCCGATTACACCTGCTTAACACCCCTGGAAGGTGGAAAACTTTAACACCTTAGCAGGTGGAAAAACCTAAACACCTTAGCCCTCTATGGTGGCTCAGGAGGCCTTCCATTGGTTATTTCCTGATTCTTTCCTGCTGCACTCCTCAGGCCTTCCTACCTGCTCTACCTGGCACCTGAAACACAGGTCCTTTGCGTCACAGCCAAATGTCATCTCTGTAAAGAGTCAATCCTCACTGCTGTATTTAAAAGCATTGGTATTTTTTCTTTCTTGTATAAAAATGAATAAGGTTTACTTAGGAAGAGAAGAAAAAGCACGTGTGATCCTCTCATCCAGAGAAAATCACTAGGAACATTTGGTGGATACCTTTTTAGGTCTTGCCCCCAACCCCAATTTATACAAATAGTGTGCACTTATGGGAAAATGCAAATGTCCGGCAGGCCTAAAGTATCTGCTAGAATTTTGAAGACCTGGGCCTTGCTTTCTAATCCCTGGGTGTTTTTTTGTTTTGTTTTGATACTGGGGTTTGAACTCAGGGCCTACACCTTGAGTCACTCTACCAACCCTTTTTTTATGATGGCTATTGTCGAGATAGGGTCTTGAGAACTATTTGCCATGGGCTGGCTTCGAACTGCAATCCTCCTGATCTCTGCCTCCTTAGTAGCTAAGATTACAGGCGTGAGCCACGGGCACGCGGCTCCTGGGTGCTTTTTTCCCCTAATCACAAGCTGATGAGTATTTCTGAGTTTGTACCTCTCGCTGGTTACCAGGTAAGCCCTACGGTGTGACCTTGGCCTTGTTCTCTGTTGCAAGCTCTTGCTTGACACATAGTAGGTACTTAACGTATTCTTGACTGGATGAGTAGAAAAGGCAATGAATTTACGTTGGGCCTCAATCCTAAAAAGGGGGGAATAGCTGGGGAAAGGCCCGGGATCAAGGAGGCCTTGAATGTCCCTGCCTCTTCTCACTGTCCCGTCCCCAGGAGCCGTGGAGGTCCAGGTCCCCGAAGACCCGGTGGTGGCCCTGGTGGGCACCGATGCCACCCTGCGCTGTTCCTTCTTGCCTGAGCCGGGCTTCAGCCTGGCGCAGCTCAACCTCATCTGGCAGCTGACCGACACCAAACAGCTGGTGCACAGCTTCGCCGAGGGCCGAGACCAGGGCAGCGCCTACGCCAACCGCACGGCGCTCTTCCCGGACCTGCTGGCGCAGGGCAACGCGTCCCTGAGGCTGCAGCGCGTGCGCGTCGCGGACGAGGGCAGCTTCACCTGCTTCGTGAGCATCCGGGACTTTGGCAGTGCCGCCGTCAGCCTGCAGGTGGCGGGTGAGCGCCGGGAGGGGGCGCCCTCCTCCCTCCCCACAGCCCCGCGCATCCTTTCCCGCATTGCACCCCTGCCCTTACCTTGTCCCCCTCTGCCACCCTCCAGCCCCCTACTCGAAGCCCAGCATGACCCTAGAGCCCAACAAGGACCTGCGGCCCGGGGACATGGTGACCATCACGTGCTCCAGCTACCGGGGTTACCCCGAGGCTGAGGTGTTCTGGCAGGATGGGCAGGGATCGCCCTTGACTAGCAACGTGACCACTTCGCAGATGGCCAACGAACAGGGACTGTTTGACGTCCGTAGCGTGCTGAGAGTGGTGCTGGGTTCTAATGGAGCCTACAGCTGCCTGGTGCGCAACCCCGTGCTGCAGCAGGACGCGCACGGCTCGGTCACTATCACAGGTGAGGGGGGCACGCTCAGCAGGGAAGAATAGAGGGAGCACTGCCTCTTTTGTAGACCCTAAATGCAGTGCCAATGGGTTCGAGTGGTTAAGAGATTAAAAAAACAACAAAAATCACTTTCATATAGATTGCAGGTGTCTCAAAATCGCCCCCAGAAGTCCTAAGGGACTCCTGTAATGAGCTGATAAGAATCATTTAGAGCGATCGCTCCCCTAGTGCTTCCATGTAGAGGCTGGAGTAACCGCCTGCAATCTGGACATACGGGTTTGCCCAGGGACATGGTGAGGACAAGGGACAAGAGGTAATACCAGTATTGCTGGGTACATGTGCACCGTCTGACTGCGAGACCCTGAGACAGAGCAGATCTTCTCCAGGTGGTCGGTCTCCATCACCTGGGTCAAGGTCAACCCTCCTCCCTGCAGACTGGAGCTGCACCCAGGCAGCCCTTGGATTGGGGAGGGGCGGGGGAGGGGAGAGGAAAGCAGTGTCTCTGCTGCCCCCGTGTGGTCAAACAGGAGATGGAGGCCGCCATCGGGTGAATCTGATCTTCAGGCCTTAGCTGGCACAGGTGGGCACCCATTGTGCCCAAGGGTGTACAGAGGGCTCAGGCTAAGGGAGGGGTTGCCCTCTGTGTTTGGCCCTAACAGGTCAATGCTGCCTTTCTGTCCCTCCCTCTGGGCCATCCAAGCTTGCCCAGAAACCTCCCACATCGCTGAGGTCAGGACAGCAGGTTCTGTAGGTTTGTGCCTCTTCTTTTCTCTTTCCATGACTTCTGCCTGACCGGCCCACTCAGCTTGTCATCTCCACTGGTCCCCAGTGTCTGTGCAAACCTCAGTCCCGGCAGACTTATTCCCATGTTCTCCCCTTCAGCAGCTGGGCCTTACATGGCCTTCACTCTGACAAGCCCAGAGCCAGTGCTCACCATGCTTGTCTGGTGGGGTCAGGCTTATTCCTCCTTTTCTTTTAGGCATTTCCTTCCCACAAAGCTGTGTTCTCAAGCCCAGCCCCACCCCTCAAGACTGAATACACTTTGTCCATCTGTGTGCCTGTGAGGGAGTCAAGGTTACTGAGGGGTTCTTGAGTTTCTCCTTGACCCTTTAGAAGAACAGTATATAACCTGGAAGTGAAAACATTGTGTTCACAAGGAAAAACAAGAACTCTAAGCTAGAGTGAGCTGGGCAGAGAAGGTGAGGCTTACGTTGGTTAGGGCAGAGCACGCTGTGATTGTGAGGAGGATGTTTACATGAGCTCAGAGAAAATGCTGTATTTTACACTTTAGTACCTAATAGCCAAAGTGGTTTATTTAGGCCAGTGCTGCAAAGCACAGTTCACAGATGAGAAAACTGAGGTCCAGAGGAAAGAAAAAGGGGGCTTCTTGAGGGCCCAGACTAGCACAGTGGCTCTGAATCTCTGGAAATTGTGATAAATGCAATAGTTTGCAGGGCGCTTGAGGGGTTCACAGCCCCTCTAAACTCATCTCTGGGGGTCTGTGAACCTTGGTTCCCATGCTTTGCAGGAAGCAGATTAACCAGCATCTGAATCCAGCTTTGGCCTCTTGGCCTCATTTCCCCTCCTTCCTGCCAGCCAGCCTCCTGTTTTCATTCGAGCAGGTCTGGCCTACTTTGGAGCCCTTGGCCTGCATTTTGCTTCGGGCAGCTCTGGGCCTTGTAAAACAATCTGGGATTTGGACTTTGAGTCCTCCAGCTGGTCTCTCCCACACCTGATGGGGGTTCGTCATGCCAGCCTCTCCGTGTAGGAGGCTTTCTGGAGTAAGAACTGGACGTGGAGCCTGGACTATGGGTCTGGGCCTGGCTGGCTCTGTCCTTTACTAGGTGAGTGAGGGCAAGTCTGGTCTGTGTTCCAGGCACCACCACTAGCCTAGGGGCAACTGGAGAAAGAGATCCTTGAGTATTTCGGTCACTCTGCCCCCTCCTCTGCTGCCAGAGCCCCATCCTGGAAAGTCCAGGGGGTTCTTATGTGTGCTGTAGGACTGGCCTTCTGGTCACCCATGTCAGCTGCTCCCTGCTCTCCTGCTCCCCTGGTGATGGATGCCTTTGCTCCCAGTGTCCAGAGCAGCAGTTTTGCCAGCCCTGCCTCATGAAGGTACATCTGCTGCAAGTACCTGTCCCACAGAGCATCTGTGCCAGGCCTCTCTGCAGCTGCAGTGGGAAGCCTTCTGCAGAAGCTGCTAGCCCCGTGCTGGTTGCTCTGGCTGCATGCTGTCTCCAGAGAGCAAAGGAGTGCAGCCCTGTCCTGGTGAGATTGTTTCTAAGCCCAGGACCCTTCATGGGACCAGGCTGGAGGAGCGTCAGAGTGATGGAGTCACATAGAACTGTGGTTGAAACACTGCTCTGACTCAGATTTGGGCTCCTTGACTCCTCTCCATCTCTCTCTCTCTCTCTCTCTCTCTCTCTCTCTCTCTCTCTTTATTTATTTATTTATTGCAGGACTGGGGTTTGGACTTAGTGCTTTGTGCTTGCAAAGCAGGAGCTCTACCACTTGAGCCACACCCCCAGTCAATTTTGCTCTGGTTATTTTGGAGATGGGGGGGTCTCATGAACTATTTGCCTGGACTGGTCTCGAACCTTGATCTTCCAGATCTCAGCCTCCCAAATAGCTCGGATTACAGGTGTGAGTCATTGGTACCTCGCAACTCCTTCTCTCTTGACATGAGATACCTAACAGAAAGGGTCTCCATGTTTTGCGTGAATATTCCTCTGGCAGGACTCCTCCCAGACATCCATGAATCCTTTGGGGAAGTCAGGCTCTCACTCCAGGGCCCTCATCTGTACACAGAACCACACTCACACTTTCTGTAAAAGGCCAGACTGTAAATTTTTTGTGGGCCACATGCCATGCTACTGCTTCTTTCTTTTGCTTCTCTCTCTCTCTCTCTCTCTCTCTCTCTCTCTCTCCCTCTCAATCTCAATCTCACCCCCCCATCACCACCACTGACCACATTTGGCCCATGGGCTGTAGTTTGCTGATTCCTGACCCATAGGTCAGGGCATCCCCAAGTTGGGGGGATGGCCTCTGAGGAAGTGAAGCTCAAGCCAGGTGGTGAGTTTGGAAGTGTTTTTTAGGAAGGGGAAATGACAGTGGGCGTGGGGAGGCTGGAAGGAGCCAGGTGTTTCTGCAGAGGATGCCAGTTTGGCTGGAGGAGAGCTTCCCATAGTGAAATTAGAAGGAGAGGCTGGGAGAGAGTAAGCAGGGCCCACTTCAATCATCCTGAGGAGATTGAAGCATTATCCTAAAATCGGTAGGGGCCCATAGAAGGTTCTTGAACATTACCTGCAGACTTTTCAGGCCTCCTAGATTGAGACCTGTCTCCGTCAGCACAGCTCTGCCAAGGTTTGAAGGGTGAGCTTATGTGAACTTCATTCATAGTGTGGGGCTCAGTGAGGGTGGGAGCCCTTGTTCACCCCTTGGAGCTAGAGGGGATGGGACCAGGGATGGCAGGCTCATTCTCCCCTCTTTCCCTCCCAGGGCAGCCCATGACATTCCCCCCTGAGGCTCTGTGGGTGACTGTGGGACTCTCAGTCTGTCTCGTGGTACTGCTGGTGGCCCTGGCTATCGTGTGCTGGAGAAAGATCAAGCAGAGCTGTGAGGAGGAGAATGCAGGTGAGTGTGTGTGTGTGTGTGTGTGCACCCATGCATGAGTCTTTGGGTTTGTCCCTGTTTTGATCTGTTTTGTGCTGCTATGAGAAAATACCTAGACTGGGTAATACAGAGAAACAAATGTCCTGGCTCACAAGGTACCAGCATCTGAGAAGGCCCTTTGCTGCACCCATCACATGGCAGAAGGTGAAAGGACAAGAATGGGCAGGCTACCTGTGATGTCCCACCTCTGAATAGTGTTACATGACAATGAAATTTCAATGTGAGTTTTGGAGGGAACAAACATTCAAACCAGAGCAGCTGCTGTATCTGTGACATCTGTAGTGGCTAGTGATAGAATGAGTGCGGGTGCACAGATGGGGCTGATCTGAGACCTGGAGGCTGGACACTCATGAATGAGTGTGAGCCTGCCTGTCGGGTGCAAATATGGCAGCTAGGTGTGGGATGTGTGTAACCAAAGGTGATGGGTGTGTAAGGCTACAGGAGATAAGTGAGCCTGTGCACACAAGTGTGGAAGTCACATGCTTGTGTCTGTGAGTGTGGAAATGAGGTAGCTCGGGTTTTTGTGTCTTCCTTGGAGTGAGCAGAGCCTCAAGCTACTGCTATTTCCTGGGCCAAGGGTCAGTATGACTTGATTGGACATTAAGAGTGGCACATGGGTGAACAGAGGCATGGCGATGACTAATGCTCAGGAAGGAGAGTGGGAAGAGAGGTTGGTACCACCTGTAGGTAGGTGAGTACTTGTGCCGTGGACAGCTGGATGGGTGGGCAGATGGATGAGTAGACAGAAAGAGGGTGGGTGCAGAGGTAGAAGGGTGATGATTGACAGGGTTGGAGCAAGTGGGTGGGTGAGGTCGTGGGTGGATGGACTGATGTACAGCTAGGCAGATGGCCCTTGACCAGGTGAGCAGTGGGCTTGGAGCTGGGAGCCCTCGCATTCTGGTTCAGCTCTGCTGTGGGCTCAAGCTCCCAACTTGTGTTCAGCGTTTGGACTGCAGGCCAGGCTTGCTCAGGCCCCAGGTGGGGAAGAGCAGGGGCAAAAGCAGGGCTGAGAGAGTTTTTTGTTCACTCTGAGTTCTTGTCTTCCAGGAGCTGAGGACCAGGATGGGGATGGAGAGGGATCCAAGACAGGTGAGTCTGAACCTGCAGCTGGCCCTTTTGGCCGGGGTGCTCTTATCTCCCTCCTGGGAGATAAGAGACAGGGGAACTTCAGGAGCAGGGGGGGCCAGTTTGCTTTGAGGCTTGAATGAAGTGGGTCTTCTGATGGAGGCCTCCCATCCCCGGGTGTCTGCTCTTTCCCTGGAGGTAGGAGTGGGGGCAGACTTCCCCAGTCCCCACCAGGAGCTGTTTCATTGCTACTGCCTACCTTGTCTGATCACCATGGTTGATGTCACCTGATTAACCCTGGACCTCGCAGTTGGGGCCTTCCAAGGGGTGGGCAGAAGACCTCAGGAGACAGGGAAACATCATATAGAGTGGCCCTTAGCAAGTCACTGTGCCTCTTGCCTCAGTTTCCTCATATGTAAAACGGTGTAACAGTAGGTCCAGAGGTTTTTCTGGGTTGTGTTAAATGAGATAACACATATGAAAGACAGTACTGTGCTTGATGCCTATAGGCACTTACCACACTGCAGCCTAGTTCTCACCAGGCAGATGGCTGAAGACAGCTCTGTTCTCCTTAGAGCACCTGGTCAAGGTGCTTTGTTCCTATGGACTTCAGTGTCCCATCAGTGTCCCTGATGGCACCAGAGGGCTGTTTCGAAGCTCTCTCATGTAATTGGAGGGCTATGTACTTTGCAGAGGGCCTGGTGCTGTAGCCCTGGAGTCCAGCTTGGGGTGCATGCTGGGGCCCTGCTGGAGGCCTTATTTCCAGGAGTCTTTGGGCTGGGAGGGGCTGGTTCTGGCTGAGACATTTGGCAGGGTTCCAGCTGACACCAGATCCCTCCCCACCCCCCACAGAAGGAAGGGCAGGAGATTGACACCTGGGGACTGCTATAAATTATACCAATTAATTCTCCTGTTGGTGCCTGTGTGGCAGGCATGGAGACAGCGCTGGTAACAGGCCTCATTTTTCATACTCAGAGGCAGATGTCAACAGAGGGAGATGGAGGGGGGAATGAGGGTGGGCTGGAGATTTGCTCTCCAGTCCTCTTGATCCTGAGCCCTCTGGGGACATGTGCAGATATGCCACTCCCCTTTAGCTGCTCACTTCACCCTGATTTGAAGAGTGGGCTCAGGGTATCTCCACATCTCCAACTCACTGAAGGTTGGGGCAGGTGACTGTTCTGATGCTATGCAGGAACAGACCTGGAGAGGGAAGTGACAAGCCACAGAGAGGAGCTGGAGCTTGTGGACTGAGGCTGGGGACCCCCTAGGGCCCTTCCCCTGTGCTGTGATGTTGTCCCTATCCTGCCCATGTCTTCCCTGCCCCTACCCCTGCATGCCCTGGCTACTCCCTCTGCCTGACCCTTGTCTCCACTTTCCACCAATCTTCCCTCACTGTATGCTTCTTCATTTTTTGCAGCCCTTCGGCCTCTGAAACCCTCTGAAAGCAAAGAAGGTAAAGACGTGTTCTTTGTGTCTGTGCTTAGGGTGCTAGGATCATCACCCTGTTACTGGTGACCTGTGCTCCCTCCCTAGAACAGCAACCTCACCTTCCCCTCTGCTCAGATGGCAGAGGGCTGAGTAGTAACCCAGGTCCTAGCTGGTACAAAAGGATCCATCTGTGACCAAGGCTTACCCAGTTCAGGCGTTTCTTTCTCTCTCCTATAATAGTCTGAGTATAGCTGGTCTTAAAGCTGCAGGTGGCCCACAGTCAGGTTCCATTTTTGTGGATTTTTGTCCTGTGCAACTCTAAGCTTCCATCCCTGGGTCCAAGAGGCTCCTCCAGCTGCCATGCCCCTTTGAGAAGCCAGGAAGAGGTAGGCAAGGAATGAGTCTTTCTAAGACTTGGCCAGAAATAGTTTGCATGGCTTATGCTTACATCCCATTGGGTGAGGCTAAAAATGTAGTTTTCAGCTGAGCAGGTAGGCCGACAGTGTGGACAGCTATTATTTATATTGTTACAGCATCAACAGTTACATTAGAAAATATAGCAAATAAGTCATCTCTCTCCCTGTTGTTCAGAACCAAATGAGCACAGGAAAATGGAGCTGATGTTGATGGGGATGTCCACTTGGTCCCTGGAGAGTTGCTGGAGAAAGTGATCTGGTCTCTGGTCACACTGGATAAGCACAGAGGCAGTGCCCAGATGGGAGAGCTACTTTCCCTAGGGACAGAGTCCAAAGGGTGGGAGAGGAGACTCAAGGTCACATGTACCCGGGGCCCTCTTCTGCACTGTCCATTCAGACCTGGATGTGGGGCCAGGGGTGTGACTATTGGATAGATGTTCCTGTGTGGAGACAAGAAGCCAGAGGGAAGGAGGCTCCCTGTAGCATCATTCTTCTGGACATCCATATGGGAAGGGGAAATTGAGATGGGACTTCCTGCTGGAAGAGGGAATTGGCCCCAGCTTTGGAGGCACAAGCCAGGGAGATGGAAGGGAAAATGTATTTCAGACAGAGGGGCAGCAGTAGGGAGAGTGTAGGATGAGTAGGCTGTGGGGATTGAGAGAGGTGGGTAAGGAGAGGGAGGTCTCCCTCAGGGGCCTTCCTGGTCACATGGAATGACCAACTTGTGGGGCCGTGGTTAACTTGGGGCTGTTCATTGAATTTCTATGGCCAGTCTCATACAGACTCCTCACCTGAGGTATGTGACCAGGCGCATGGACTTCTAGCATTTAATGGTTTTTCTCTTTTCTTTCCACCATGAAATCTAGATGATGGACAAGAAATAGCCTAATCGAGAGCTGCTGCCCCTGCCCAGGGGCTCCCACCCTCTGGCTGCACTGGGGCCTCAGTGTGAGCCCTGCCCCTACAGATGGGTCCTGCTCCAGCAGGTCTACCCATTCTCCGAAGGAGGTGGTACCTAGTCCACCCTGCAGCCTTATTTCTGTAATGCACACGATTCCCAAGTCATCCTGCTGCCTTACTTCTCCAGTGACACGATACCCAAACCATCCTGCCGCCTTATTTCTTATGGATACAATACACCAACCACGCCACCTCCTTATTTCTCCAAAGTCATCCTGCTGCCTTATTTCTCCAGTGATATGGTACACGAACCATCCTGCCGCCTTATTTCTTGTGGACACAACACACTGATCACCCCACTTCCTTATTTCTCCAGTGATATGGTACACGAACCATCCTGCCGCCTTACTTCTTCTGGACACAGCACACAGACCACCCCACTTCCTTATTCCTCCAAAGCCACATGGACCATCTGGCTGCCTTTTTTTCTCCAGAGGACACAATATTCAGACTACTCCCCTGCCTTATATCTCTGAAGACACTACGCAGATACCTTTTGGCTGGTTTCTCCCAGGATAATACACTAGTTAAATGAATTCTCAACCCTTTCTCCGACTGGGGTGTGATTCCGTTTCTTCTGCATCTCCTGAGTCAAGAGACTGCCTTCTCCTGCTCTGGCCCCAACATTGGCTTTTTCCCTTCCCAACTGAGGCCATTTTCATTTCTTTGGTCACTGTGTGGGCTTCACCACTCATGGAAACATCACCAATTTCTTTGCCTCAGGAGACACAAACCCTAGGCTTGGTTAGGACCTCTGCTAATGTCCCCACTTTACAGATGGGGAAGCTGGGGCTCCGGAAGGAGCTGGCACCAGGAAAGGGGTTTTGTATGCCATCCTTGGCTGACCCAGTGGAATGAGGACCAGGCGGGAGGCTCAGAGGTCCAGGCCCAGGACCTCTGTGACCCAGAGCACAACATTGACCTTCTGCGGGCCTTGGTTTTCTTGAAAAATGAAAAATTCAAGAGAATCACCTTCTACTTGAGTCTGAGAGGTAATCGTATCAGGCAAACAGATTTCCAGAGAAGGAGGTCCAGGGATGTGGGGTCCACAGTGTCCTGCTTTTCTTTGCCCTGGGAACACAGGTGTGCAGAGGCCTAGGTCTGCATGTGCTAGAATGTGAGCGACTTCTCCTTCCTGGTCTTCTGTCTGCCTTGGGCTGTGCCCACCCTCCCCACGGGAAGCAGGTGCTGGTCATATTGGTTCTCTAGGGGTCTGTGAGGGCACCCTGGTCAGCTTTTATATCTGTGCTTTTCCTGCCTTTGGAGACTGCTCCTTCTACTCACCTAGTAAATTAATGTTTGTTGAGCAATATAGGACTCAGCGCTGTGTTGAGTGCTGGGGACCCTGTGTAAGAAGCTGAGTTCCTTCCTTGGAATCTTGTCCTCCAACTAGGAAACAGACAAGTGTCGTAGCTCTTGCCTTACTCCCTACTGTACTCTCCTTGTGCCCATAGTTTCTGGGATACCTCACTGCCATCCCTTCCCTACCCCTTACCCAGATCCTAGGGTACAGGCAGAAAGCTGCAGCGAGGGACACAACCCCTTGCCACACCTGGACACCAGGTGATATCAAGGGTCTTTCCAGGTGTGGGCTGGCAAGCAAGTAGCCAAGGTCCTATAGACCTAGCAGTGGCCTAGGCCAAGCTGGGGCCTTGCTTCACTGGCTGGAGCCTCGGGCAGGGCAGGGCCAGGCCAGGAGGGCCTGGGGACACAGAGGGGACTGCTCCCCACCATGGTGCTATTCTGGGGCTGGGGCTGACACCTCCTGGTTCGTCTCTGGCAGCCCCAGTTCCAGCAGAGTTTACTCTGGTGTCCTCCTGATGGTGTCTCCCCCACTCTGGGAAGGAAGATGTGAGGATTTCTAATTTAAATGTGGGCTCTGTACACTGGAGGTGTATTTGGGGAAAAATAAATGCCTTTGTTAAAAGCTTTTCTTCTGAAGTGTTTGGAAGCAGTGAGGTGGGCGGCAGCTCAGGATTCAGCAGGAAGAATCCCCTCTACAGCATTTCAGGCTGCAGTAGGGATGCCTGGGTCTCCATGGTCCTGTGGCCCCCTTAGGTTCCTGGCCTCAGTTTCCTTCTTGAGAAAGTGAATTTGGTTGACCAGAAGGCCAGGCTCTTTGGTCACCGTGTAGGCTCCACCACTCATGGAAGCATCACCAGTTTCTCTGCCTCAGGAGATGCAAACCCTAGGCTTGGTTAGGATCTCTGCTGATGTTCCCACTTTACAGATGGGGAAACTGGGGCTCTGGAAGGAGCTGGCACCAGGAAAGGGGTTTTGTATGCCACCCTTGGCTGACCCAGTGGAATGAGGACCAGACAAAGGGTCAGAGGTCCAGGCCCAGGACCTGGTTCTACCCTGTGACTCTGAGCACAACATTAACCTTCTGTGGGCCTTGGTTTTCTTGAAAAATGAAAAATTCAAGAGAATCACCTTCTACTTGAGTCTGAGGGGTGATCATGTCAGGCAAACAGATTTCCAGAGAAGGAGGTCCAGGGATGTGGGGTCCACAGTGTCCTGCTTTTCTTTGTCCCTGGATGACAGTGTCTCAATATTGGGCCACTGGCCAGTCCTAGACCTTTGTGGGCATTGTGGAAGGGGGTGGGGGGATAGCAGGAAGAGCCTGGGCCATCATCAGGACATTTGTCTCAACCCTGGCTCTGCTACTAATGTGACTACATCTTTCATACCTCTGAACTGTAATTTCCTTATAAAATAAGGGTGACTAGGCATGTCCTGAAACACATGTGAGATTCTCTAAATATTGGGGATTTGTTACAACATTGATGACCCCAAGAGAAAGATGAGTCACCCTGTTCGAAGTCCCAGGATTGGTGCTCTGAAAGGGTTGTAAAACCTCAAGGTTTGTGCTGGAGATCGCCTTTACCCTGAAAGGTCTGCTTGTGCCCTTACTCAGGGTGATGTCCCCTCCCCGGCCAGTAATAGAGCTGGGGCAAGAGGGTGGGAAAGAGATCCTGCAAAGAGTAAAGTGCTGGGCGTTTGTGAGGGCTGAGACTTTCCCTGTCTGAGCTGGGGCCACACACTGTGGTGACTTGGTAGAATTGGACACAGTGGCCCAGAGCCAACGGCGTGCACCTGTTTGCCCATCTGTAAAACAGGCATGGTAACTGGAGCTTTTTCTTCCTCTCCGGGCTAGAGTAAGGCTCCGATATGACACTATCTGGGAGGGACCCAGCAGGTATGGGACATGTCTGGGAGCTGAAGGGTCAGGAAAGTGGCCACCAAGTCCCCTGATGATGAGTGCTGAGTGCCCTGGAGAGCAGTATTTTTAGCTGCTCTTCCTAGGCAAAACTCCAACTCCTGCATTTTCATGGAGAAGTAATTCTCACAGCACGACAAGCAGTAGCCTGCAGGTGTCACATTCATATTAAAGAGGTTCATTTGCTGGGTTTGAGGTGTGACGGGAATTCGACTCCAGAATCATTTGTAACTAGGCCTGTGAAGACCAATTAGTGGTCGTGATCACCTGCCACTCAGAGAGAGGGGACAGGGAGGGCTGGCAATGTTGTGGCTTAGGACTCACTCAAGTCACCCTGCCTTTTCCACTGCCTTGTTATAGAGCCTTCTGCTTCCTCTCAGACATGATCGCTGCCTTCATGGGCTGGCCCTCCTCCCCCCGCCCCCTCCCCAGTCTGTTCAGGGAGAGACACCTGACCTTGTTCTGTTGCAGGAGATGGTTGCTGAGCAGAAAGGACTGACATACCCGTGGGATGATGAGTGGGAGCTGCCCATGTCTAAAGATCCGATTGCAAAGCCTAAATCTTAAACTGAGGCATGAAGCCAGAGTTTGCCCTGAGTAGCCAAAAACCCCTGAAGGGACTCAGAGAAACAAGCTGGAGGCTGGGCTGCCCCATGTGTGAGGATGGAGATTTTCCACTTAGAGAAAATGTTACTAAGGTTTGCTATCCTTCCAAACTTTTTCTCCAGGTTTACACATTTACAAAAGTGCTATCATACATACTGTTCTGCAACTTCCTATCTTTACAATTTTCCCAAGTCAGTTCCTTCTCTCTTCCTTCCTCCCCCAGTACTGGGGATTGAACTCAGGGCTTTGTACATGCTAGGCAGGCCCTCTACCAGCTTGAGCCTCCTCCTCCTCCTCCTCCTCAATAGAAGCATCGCTTTTATTTCCTTTTTGAGACAGGGTCTTTTGTTCAAATTCAGGATCCTCCTGTGTCTGTGTCAGGAACCTCCCATGTAGGTGGGATTACAGGCGTGCACCACCATGATCAGCTTGTTTTAAGTTCCCTAGTGTACCTTCCCAGGCAATAGCCCCATCCTTTTGATCTCTGCCTCCTGATTACAGGTGTGAGCCACCATGGCTGGCCAAACTGTCATATTGGGGATTGAACCCAGACCTTGGTCATGCTAGGCAAGTGCTCTATCACTCCAGCCATCCCTCCAGCTCAGTTTTGCTTATTCTTGGACTTAGTAAATAGGATCCTACAGGATATGCTATTTTGTATCTAGGTTCTTGCAAAGACCTTCATTATTTGAGATGGTTACATAGTATTTGATAGAGCTGCTGTTCTGGGATATATCTCTCCCTTCCTATAGATTGCATACAAATAATGCAGCCATGTACTCCATATGGCTTCTAGAAGTGGGCTCTCTGGCTGCATCTTAAGTGCAGGTAAAGTTGCCAATTGTTTGGCCTGCGTTTTTAGATCCCATGTAAATGAAGAGCACACAGCCTCTAGCAAAATGGATTATAACCAGGACAAGAACGGTACTTAAAATTCACGACCTAGCTGGGCTCTGGGACTCTGGGAGGTGGCACCTGAACTCAACAGTGCACTAGCCCTGTGGTGACTCCTTCCTCCCAGCCCTCTGAATTCAGCATCTGCCTGTCTCTGGAGCTGTTTTTACATTTCTGGGCCCCCAGTCCTAGGGTGAGCACCTTTGCCTCCTGCTGGATGGTGTGGGTACTGCACTGTGGTATGAGTGCCAGGGTGGACTGAGCTCTGTGCCCAGAACACCTGACCATAACTGATGATGGGGAGCGGGGCTGGGGGGTGGGGGTGAGGGCTGTTCATCAGAATCTTGACATCTTCTGTACTTGTGTCCATGGATGCTCCTAGCCTGCCATTTGGCTCCACCAGCTTTAGGTAATAATGGTGACACTATTTTGTCACTAATGAGGTAGGGCAGAGAAAAGTCTGTCTCACGAATCAGATCTATCCCAGCCCTCAGGAAAAAGACCTGTGACCTTTGCCCCAGCTTTTCCCAGCATTGGAGCAGCAAAATATCCTCTTCCCCTCAACCTCCCTCAGCTAATGTAATTTTTCCACCTCCATCACTTCCTCTGGATATGTTTCATTATTACCTCTTTCAGATTGAGGCCCTGGCTTGTGTCGTAATGTTCCAGCTCATAATATGTGGACCAACCTCCTGGATCTTGCACTCTATGCTCCTAGTGATAAAATCCAGATACCACTAGACACCTAAGGAGTTTTTAATAATGCTGGGGCCTGGATTCCCACCCCAGAAGTTCTGATGTAATTGGTTAAGATGATCATTAAATATTTGATATGAGTTCCCCAGGGATTCTAGCCTGGCTGGCAAAATAGAACTCAGAAGAACCTTTGAGATGAGGCAGCTGGGTTGAACCGGCTGATCTCAGTGATCACTCCATCAGACAAAGGGGTCCTTGTTTTTGAACTAAGAGAAGCATGGCAAATGCAGAAACAAGGAAGGTCAGAGAGTGATCAAGTTTAGTGCAGAGAAGAATTCCTGTTCTCTGTGTTGTGGGGCCCAGGGGAGAGCAGAACTCCAAGTTCCTGCCATCAGCCAGGCCAAACACCCAGACCCCAGGAGAGTGAGAAACGATGGGATGCCGCGAGTATGGCTAAGTTCCTTTCAGCTCTCTTAAAGAAAATGAGGGTCTCTCCCTGTTCCTGAGTGCCCCCTCTCCCCCCTCTTCCTTCCACTGCCTCTCTTTTTCCTTCTGTGTTTCTCTTTGTGCCCTCCAGATGTGCACAGTCATATGACTGGTTCTGGCTCCCTCCTCCCTCCAGCGCGTGTGCTCCATGAAGGGAAGGACCATCTGTCCTTCTCCCTGTGGCCGTCAGGCTGTGTGCTTGTGCCAGACCTAAAGGGAAACAGCCTCTCTCTCTCCTGACCCCTCCATCTCAGATGTGCTCCCACCCCAGGGCTCCACTCTACTGCAGATGTGCAGTCTACAGAGTGACCAACCCAGTATCTCTCCTGTACCACTGTCCCCCAGTCCCCAACCTCCTGCAGCTCCTCAGTCTCAAGACTTACCTTCACTACCCAGAATCCACCTTCTTAGGCGAGAGGCCCTGGGGAACACACATCAAACACTGAGCAATGATCTCAGTCAGCGTCATCAGAACTTCTAGGGAAGAAGCCCAGGCACCAGGCGAGTCCTGTGATTCACAGACCAGCACACTGTGCTCTGTTCTCTTTCCTTCCTGTCCCCATGTATTTCAGTATCTCAAAAAACGTTCCTGCACAGTGACCACACTGCAGGGGATGGGGTGGCGGTGTGCTAATGAATGGACACACTTCCTGTCTCTGTGGCTTCTGTAATTGCATTGAGGTGCATTAGCCCTCTGCTGGCAGCTTTAGCAGACGTTCTGGGGAGCTGGCCAGGTTGCAGAGGCTACCTGGCACCCCTTTAGGTAACCAGGCTGAGGGCCTTGGTGACCTGGGAGACATGGCAAGGGTGCTGATTTCCTTGGTGTCTGTCCATGCTGCCCTTCTGAGTGGCCTTCTGTTCACTGCAGCCAGGAGGATCTGGGTCAGCCCAACAGGAAGGAGAATGTGCTGGCATCCAGGGTTCCAGACCCAGGACATGGATCCCAGGG